TTGAGGACACATTTTTCTCTTATTTATCATTCTATCTTTAGTCGAAAGAGCTTTAAAAAATTAGAAAATTTTTGCAATGATATCGTTGTAAAATATCCAAACTTTATTTTTGATGTTGATGATTTTATATCTCTCGAAGAATCAGGATTAGTCTCTCTTCTCAAGCGAGATGATTTGCAATTGGAAGAGGTTAAAATTTGGGATCATGTCATCAAGTGGGGGATTGCTCAAACTTCTCTCTTCCTACAATTCTTAATAGACCAAAGAAAATTTCCTCATACTTAAGACTACTTTACAACATTGTTTACCTCATATCCGTTACTTTCAACTTTCGAATATTGAAATTTATTATAAAATCAAGCCTTATAAAAAAATTATTGACAAACAACTTTAGAAAGATATCAATCAGCATTTATCCATTCCTGAACGGCCAGTAAAATCACCTATTTTACCACCAAGATCAATTTTGGTCATAGAATTACCTCCTCGTACAAATGAGTCAAAAGAATCTTTTTCAAATATTATTTCTGAAGATCATGCTGCAGAAATTTCTAGTTGGATTGACTGTAAAACTACTTCTTATTCAGCAACAAATATTCCATATCAATTTGAATTAATTTTGCGTGGAACTAAAGATGTGTTTTCTCCACAAACATTTTGGAATATCTGATATGGTCATACTCGTACAGTTGTTGTGGCGAAGTCAAAGGAACTGAGGAAATTGTTGGAGGTTATAATCCTTTAACATGGGATAATACTTATAATGGGAATATAGTAAATGGATGGAAGCAAAACTAGTTTCATTTTCTCACTAAAAATGGGCGTATTCAAAACTTCAATTCTTAGCAGAGTAAAGAATGCCCATAACGCAATTCGTGGTATATGCGAAAATGATCAAAATAGATGTGGTCCATATTTTGGACGTGGTTTTTGTTTGCTTAGTTTTATATCTGATTTTAATTTAGATAATAATAGCTACTGTTGGGATATAAATCATTATGAAAAACCTATAAGAACATCAAATGATTACTTTCCGACTGATAATTATGAGTTATTTAAAATTGTTAGAAAATCCTAAAAATGCATGGAAAAAGAAATTTTTTTATTTATTATACTTTATTTATATTTATTGTTTGTATTTATTAAATAAAAATAAAACTGTACTTTTTATTTGTCATTTAGTGTCCTCTTTCGTAAAATGAATGCTTGCATTTTTTAAAATTTTAATAAATTTTAATCTAGATACGTGAATAATTTTCCTATCCGAGAATTCTTATCTTTTTATTCAGATTCTTTAACTTAGAAATAATAGAATTAGAGGCGTAAATGAAGTAGCCTAAATCTGAGAAAGACAGCTGAAGCTTCAAAAATTAAAATAAAAAGCATTTAATGAAATGATAACATTCGAAATAAATGATCAACTAATTACATAACACATTCTGAACATTGAGGTGGCACGAAAATAACTGGGGTCACGGGGATGATGGAGGAAGATAGGTGTCACTATTTGGATGAATTATCCTTGTGTATCATCCATCATCCAGGATAACTGTTTATTCATCCTGACACAAAAACGTTTTTTTTTTATGAATGACAGAGGATGAAGGTAAATCAGAAGAAAAATTATTAAAATAGCTGCGGTGGGGAAGAAAAGAAAAGAGTTTCCTCTTCTCGCGAAAACTTTTAAATCTTATAATTTTCTTACCTTAATAACGAATTTCTTAATAATTTTATCATAATAAAATAATTTCGTAACAATCCGAATATTTCGTAATTATATTTCTTTTTTTTTTTTATAATAAATAATTTCCTAATAATTTTAGTAATAACAAATACAATTAGTTTCGAAATAATCTTAATAATATTAAATAATTTTTGTAATAGTTTTAATTTTAGTAATAATTTCGTGTATCGGAATAACAATAGAATACGCCAGCGCAGTAATATATCTCTATTGACCTATTCTTTTAATAAATTTTAATAAATCTTTTAATAAACTGTTTTACTTTTCTAAGCAAGTTATTTCAAAAAGTTTGTTAAATTTCGGTAGCATATGAAGTAGTTAGTAAAGATACTTTTACTCCATTTGCTCACCGTAACTTCAGATATTACACATAATTGCATTGTTTGTGAGTGTTAGTAAGCAGGTTTAGATCGACTGATTGCCTGTCTTGCTGTGTTTTAAGATATTGAGCACAAGAGAAAGTGTGTTAGTAATATATTGAATTATCGTGTGAATGACCTAAATTTATTGAAACTGATTGGCTTAATTTTCCACATTGTTCTGCGCAGACCGCGACAACATAATAACGATTGATCTATTACTTTATTTTAGTTTTAAACGATCAAGAATCAGATAGATTGATTTTCAATCTGCGTGATGACCTTTAGTGATTTCATATTAGTATTACTTTTTTTGATGATTTTATTTTTAATATGCTTGTATTGTTATGTATTTGTATTTTTTGCTAACGATTTAATATAAATAATAAATTATTTCACTGTTTTTCTTTTCCTTTTAGGAAAAAATTTCCTTCTATATCTATATCATTCGAATCTATTAACTCAATTTTTTCCTTTTTCAGATTTGAATTTTCACTCTTCTTTGAAAAGGTAAAAATTGACTTTTATAGATTCAAATGATATAGAAGGAAATTTGCCCTTTTTAGATTTAGATGTTACTCTTTTCCGAAGAAGGTAAAAATTGCCTTTTTATATTTAAATGATATAAAAGGAAATTTTTCCCTATTTGTATTGAATGTTCTTATCCGAAAAAGGTACAAATTGCCTTTTATATCTTCAAATGATATAGAAGGAAATTTTTACTCTTTTTGTAAATGATTGTTGCTTCTAAAATTTATTTAAAATTATCGCGAGTAACATAGTTAAAGCTCTCCATAAGCCTTAGAGACTCGCAAGCTAATATAATTAGACGATTTAATAATATTTTTTTAGACATCTAATTTTTAGTAAATCGTTTATTAAATCATTTAAAAATATTATCATTTAAGAGATTTAATAAATATCATTATTAAATCATCTAAAAATTATATTTTTTAGATGGTTTAATAATAATATTTATTTATTCTGTCTAAAAAACAATATTTTTAAATGATTTAAAATATTATTTTTAGGCGATTTGATAATTTAGTTCTTTAGACAATTAATTAATAAATCGTCTAAAAAATATTATTTTAAACGAAATATTTATTTAATCGTCCAGAAATTATTATTTTTAGAAGATTTAATAATAACTGATAATATTTATTAATCGGTCTAAAAAACAATATTTTTAGGACGATTAAATAAATATTTCATTTAAAATAATATTTTTTGGACGATTTAATAATTAATTGCTTATAAATCATCAAGAATAATATTTTTAGACGATTTTAGACGAAATATTTGTTAAATCGTCTAAAAAACATTATTTTTAGATGATTTAATGATAATATTTATTAATCGGTCTAAAACAATATTTTTTAGACAATTTATAGCTGATTTAATAAATATTATTATTAAATTGCCTAAAAATATTATTTCAAATCTTCTAAAAAATATTATTTTTAGACGAAATGTTTAAATCGTCTAAAAAATACTATTTTTAGATGATTTATTTATTAATTGGTCTAAAAACAATATTTTTTAGACGATTTATAGCCGATTTAATAAAAAAAAGATTATTTTTAGACGAAATATTTATTAAATCATCTAAAAAATAATATTTTTTATTAAATCAGCTATAAATCGTCTAAAAAATATTGTTTTCAGACGATTTAATAAATATTTCATCTAAAAAATAATATTTTTAGACGATTAATTATTAAATCGCTTAAAAATAATATTTAAATCATCATTTTTAGACGAAATATTTAGATTTAAAATATTATTTTTAGATGAAATATTTATTAAATCGTCTAAAAAATTTTATTTTTAGACGATTTGATAATTAATTGTCTATAAATCGTCTAAAAAACAATATTGTTTTTTGGACATCTAGGAAATATTATTTTTAGTCGATTTAATAATTAATCATCTATACATCATCTAAAAATAATATTTTTAGGCTTCTTAGCATCGTTTTTGACATTTACTTGTTTAACTAGGCAATTATTTTTTTAATAAGTGGTCTAGATTAGAGGCTTTTTGTGCTCATGATATTCAGCTTAAATTCTATTTCTTTGAAAATCTTCTTTTGAAAGATTATGGTTAAAGAAATCTTCAGTGCTTATTAAAAGCAAAGCAATCTTTATATTTGTCAAAATATTAATTTATATACAATTTTGCAATGACTTTTTGATATGCACCAAATCAATTTATTGAAGGCTGATTTCAACTTTTCATATCTATAGGAATATTTAAAAACAGAAACTTCATTTGAGTTTTGACAATTTAATAAAAATTAAATTTATGTTAAGCATTAGTTAATAGAAATAATTATATATTACATAAAGCAAAAGAAAAGAAGAGTCATTAGAGAAAAGATAAAGAATCATCTTGATTTTTCTAATTGCTTAAGATTACAATCGATTTAAATGGATGCTCGCAAAATCGATGAATTCGAGTTGAAACAATATCAATACTTTAATTCTTTGAAAACAATAAATGCTTAAACTTAATTAATAATAAGTATAATTGTAATTTATGTCAATGTTTAGATGTTACGACTTAGTCAGAAAAAAAAAATAATTATTTATTAGTGCTTAATAAAGAATAATAGTTTATTTTTCAATTTCTATATAAAAAAAAGTCATAACTTTATTATTTTGGATCTGTTGTATAAACCCAATCGGAACAAATTATATTATGATCAAGCCACGAATTATATCACCGATATAAAAATGAAGAAAAAAAGATTGCTAGTTAAAGATATTTTTGAAATTTTTATTTAGGTACTAATTTATTAATTATTTTATATTGGATTACATTGAAATCTGATGGTGACGATTATATCTCTGCTAGGCTAGTTCCATCATCAAGTAATCGTGTTCATCATCATAATGGTAGATATTGAATTTTCATCACTTCGAAAACAAAATGAATTGCAAGATATTAATACTGCAAAAATTGTTAATCCAATTAAGAGATGTATTGAATTCTAATTTCCAAGTAAATTTCATTGAGATCTTAAAGATTCTAAGGATTCATCACAAATTCTACAAATAATTATTCCACTACAAATTCATCATCTATAAATAATTCAACCAAAAGAATTAAACATGTTAAAGGTGATGGTAATCTATTGAATTTGAAAAATGCTCAAGGTCAAAATGTCGTGATTTAGTAATTATGATTACTGCAAAAGTTATTATATATTTTCTTTTAATTATTCAGCTTCCTGATGAAGCTATAGAATAAGTCAAGCGCATTGTATTCTTTGGGAAAAGATATTTCTTTTGCATCACTTCATTCACTGAAACTACTACTCAATCAATGGACTAATTGATTCTAATTTAACAATACATCAGACAACAAGTTAAATTCATCAATTAATAAATTGCATTACTTTGGCTAGTCACAAATAAACGAGAAATAAATGAAAGAGATATGCAAATTTGTGGTAAATAATATAATGAAATAAGTGAAAGAAATGACAAAGATATTAACACTCAAGTTCCCATAAAACTACTTCATCAAATCAATATCATAAGAATACAAATGCATTATAGGCCCAAATTCGTCATCCTTTAATAATAATAGCAATGATGGAAATAATAAATAATAATATTAATAATGGAAATGGAAATAATGAAAGTAATAGTAGTAGTGGATCACAACAAAATTTATTACGAACAAATGCAAGATCATCAAATTTATCAACAAATAATAATTAAAAAATAATGCGAATAATACAAATAAGAATACTGGCGGTGTTCAATGTGATCTCTAATGGTGGGGTGGTACTAATTTAAACATTATATTAAATAATCAGGGAATTTGATTAGATGTAAATCTCCGTAATTATTACGGATAAAATTTCAGTAATTTATGCGGAAATTTTTTGAAATATTACGTACATATATTAATTAGAGAACTATATAAAAAGCATAATCTATAAAAACAAAAAATTTTGATTACAAACTAAGTTAATTGAATTTATACATAAATAATGATAATAATTCGTGCTCTATACTTAGTACTAAAATTTATAAAATACAAATTATCTCTTGACTACACCATAAACTAATTTAATTGAATTTATACAAATATATTTAAATAAAAGGAAAGATATTTTTAATATTTAAAAGTCGCAAAATTCATCATCTAGAAAAAAAAATTATCAAGAAATAAAAAAAATAAAAAAGATATAAATATAATTAATTAATACTTACTAGTGATTATATGTGAAAAAGGTTCTGCTAATTCTCAAAGTTCTTTTTCAAAATTTCTTCATTCTTAGGTTTTGGAAGATTTGAGAAATTGTGAAGTCTATTAGTATAAATTATTTGTGGATGAGCTGTTAAGCGTCGCTGTATCTATTGTTGTTTGATTTACAGATAATTCTTCAGCTTCTTTAATTTGAATTATAATTTTATTACCATTATTTCTGTAACCATACCGATAATCAGAAAAGTATTTACACAACTCATCACATAATTCTTCAAAAGTGGTTCGATGTGCGATTCGAGCATCCCAACATCGCATAATCATTTGAGGGAGTGCAAATTCTCAAAGATAACTCTTCATCATGTGGCACAATAGAATATGGTTGAAAGCCAGTAACTATTTCATATGCAAATGAATAAATATAAGCAGTCTTCATATATTCCTCCCAACTAATACATCAGGAGTTATATAGGATAATACTCCAAAAAGTTTCTCTTTTGAAATTTCTAAATTTTACACAATTAATTTACTTAACCTGAAATCTGAAATGCATCAATCAACTATAAATTTAAAATTTCGTGACAAAATATTTCCAGGGTGAAAATCATGATGAATTATATCGAATTCATGAATTCTGTTTCCAATAAATATTTTGAAAGTTATTATTTAAAAAGTTTCTAAGATTTTCATCTCCTAAATATCTCAAAATTAATCCCATAAAACCGAATTAATGAATATTCACCCATTGTTCTCAAGTGAATTACCATCTAAATAATATATTTTTAAAATATATTTAGCATATTATATTTTTTCAAATGAATTTCCATATTAAATAAAATATTACTTCGTAGATTTTCAATATACCACAAAAAATAAATCCATCAATCCACTTAGCATAATAAATAGTACCAAAACTACCTTTTGTTATTTCTTTAATGCCTTAAATCTATCCATTCTATTGCTTTATCACAGCAATAACATTTAGTCGAGAAACTTGAATAAATCTATCGAATGTATCATTTCCACTCGTCCATTTATCAAATTATTTCTGAAACGCTTCGGGTTGCAAGGTTTGCACAAAAATTATCATATTCTTGATTGGTGGGTAAGACTCCGTTATTGAATTTGATCATTTAATTTATAATTACAACCTCAGATTTCGGAGATAGAATGTAAAAAAAATCAAAAAGGCTCGATCGTCAGAAAATTCATGCTCACTAATTAAAAAAAAGTAAAAAACGAAATTAAATTAGTCATTCAAATTAATTAAATAAATAATCATTAACATAGACTATTAAGCTATTTGATATTTAGGTTTATTGCTATATAATCATAATCATCAAATCAGTAAAATTAATTCTGTCCAAATACTCTTGTAGGGTTAAAGTCCAAAATTTTGTAATAGTTATTCAGTTTCTATATTAAATCCCATTTTCTAGTATTGATTAATTAATTAAATTGATTAATATTATTCTTTAGATAATGAAACTGTCATTTATTAATAAATTCTAGAATTTCGTCTCTCGCAAAACGTAACACTAATCTCGAAGTCGTGAGAAAAAATTATTTTGAATTCCTTCCACAAACCTATCTATTAATCTGCTTCTAACTTCACTTAACTCATAGTGTTATTCTCTAATAACTTTAACCTCATTTAGAAATCTTTTATTGTCACTTCCCCTTTCTACTGTTGATTTTTGATAATCCAATAATAAATATATCCATCGATCCACTTGAGAAAATAAACATTGCCTTTTGCTATTTAATTATTATCATGAATCTATCACAAGATATACTTTACTATGATTATCAGCATTTAATTGAACATCACATCTTGAAAAGATTTGTCTATTGTGGCATTTCCACTTGTCCGTTTATAAATTCATTTTTGAAATGTGTTGAGCGGGCAAGGTTTACACTACCAACTATATTGACTGTATAGCACGAGAAATTTATTTTCTTTTTATCAATGAATAAATTTGTATATCTGAATTTACTTGTTTAGCTATGAAAAATGCAGTAAAATATTATAGAATAAGCTAGGTACATTAAAATGTAGTATTTTACTAAAAAAAATATAGACCCCCACAATTAAATATCTAAAAAGAATCTGTATAAAGTAGTAGCTAGAGAATTGTAAATATGATAAAAAAATAAATTCTAAAAAAGCTACACAAGATAAGATAAAATTAATAGTAGTCAACATCATGAGTAAAAGTTGTGTTTTAATTAAATCACAAACTGAAGTCAAAATGATGTAATTTATCCAAAATTTTCTTATATAAATTTGAACATCATAAAGAAAACTTACTAAAATTAAATAATTAAATTAGAATTCAAGTAACTACAAAACATAATTATAAAAACAACGTTTTTGATATAAAATAATAACTATTTTCTTTTTTTTTATTTTATAAATAAATAAAAACAAAAAGTTTCTTAATTATAGAAATACATTTTATATATTCACAATTTTTTGGTTAAAATTATTGAGATTTTTTTTTTCCAAAATCTAGCAGAAACCAGATATGTAGTGAAAAGACTGAAATAAATGAAGTTATTATAGAAAAAACTTAAAATAAATTAAAAAATAGTTTAATAGAATTAAAGTGAATTTTTTGGCCAGCATTTTTTTATACTGAGAGAGCTCTTCCGCACCTTTTTTACCTTAGAGAGACACCTTGAATTCTCTATTGAAATTAGTTTATATAGGTGTGAAAACATAGATCATAATAGTAATTTAAACAAATTTTGCATGCACTTGAGACATAAATGAAGAAATCAAGTAAATATTTCATTGAAAATAAGGAAATATAAAATAAATAATCTAATTTAAGACTGATAATAATTAAATATTTTTTGTACTTCAGTTTTTAGATTACTGGAGTGTTGCTAAATACAATTAAAATTAGCAATCAATCAAATTCCATTTATAATTAAGTTAAAGGAGAATTCTTGATTTGGATTTAAAAAGTTTACTATATAAAGATAACCTATTAAACTATCATAAACTATCCTCAATGAATTCAATACAAAATGTAGTAGAATATAAAATCAATATTTTTTTCATCCTTTAGTTATAGATTTAAAAAAAACAAAATCACAAAGATTCATTTTTTTTTAATTATTTTTCTAGAAATTAAAATTTTAAGCATAGTTAGTGTTGGCTCCTATGGTATTATTCATTATCTTATAAAATTTTGGGTCAGAGAAATAATCTAAGTTTATTTTTATATTAAAAAAATGGGATCAACTGCATTTAATAGATTAATTAGTAAAAAACATTATATAACTTCTTCAATAAAATAGATGATTCTAGGAGATGTCATAGTAAATGATTCAATTAAAGATATAAAAAGAAAGTCAGCTTCAAGTAATAATATTAATATTTTAATTGACTTTCTTCTGGCTAATATCATATCAAAGAATAAAGATTAATATTCCATTCTTTTCAAAGAATTTATACACAAAAATTAAATAACAATTCTATTTAAATTTTCTGTTATTATCAAAAAAGTTAGATTCATTATATGCTAGCTATCTTATAGGAAATATTTAGCAATAAAACATACCATAATTATAAATATATTATGTTTAATTAAAGAATAAACTAGTTACTTTTGCATATATAAATTATTTATAATTAATTTTCAATTAAATAATGATCTTATATACAATAAAGTGCAAGGAGCAATTGTATTGTTCTAAAACTACATGACATGATATAAATAACAAAGCAAACTCGAATTTTAGCATTTTTAATAACAAGCAAAAAAAAAGAATGCAAGATAAACAAAAATGAGAACTATGAGTTTCTCACAAAAATATCGTTTTTTTGTATGTTCAATTTTATGCAAGATAATATCATTTCATTTAAATGATAAAAAAAATCATCTTTTAATATTCCAAAGGAAAAAAATTAATTAATTAAAAGAAAAATTATAAATATCATAAAAGCTTAATGATTTTGAAAGATTCCATTGATACTGCTACAGATATATAATTATAATAACAATTTTTTATATAATAAAACATTAATTATAGTGTACTTATTTCCTATGTCTACAATTAATTCTATGAAATTTCACATCATTAAAGCCTCATAGTAGCTCTATGACTCCTGGATCTATTATTTAAATTTTAAACTGTACTATTCAAAATAATAAATAAAATAAAAAAAAATTACAATAAAATTTGGAAATAGTAAATATCAATATATTAAATTGAAATAAGAATTATATAAAAAATCATAATTAATTTTTTAAATCAAAACATGTAATAAATTTTATAATAAATTCATTAATAATAAACACTTATACTTACCTTACTCTATTCTTAGTTATTTTTGGATATTTACATGTAAATAAAATAACATGCAACAAAATAATAAATAAATATAAATATTGCAAGAAAGATTGCATCAGCATAGCATATACTTCGTTCTAATTATTATTTTTGTGAAACCTTCCTATTATTCAAGTATATAATGGCAATTGTCATTAAATTT